CGGACTCAAAGAGCTACCCGTCACAACCGACCCCCTCCCCCACACCCACATCCAATTCGCGCACTGCTACAAGAACCAAGGCGGGTGGTCCGACGTCCTCAAGCGCTTTGGCGAGGGCGGCGGCAAACTATACGACCTCGAGTTCCTCAACGATGAGAACGGCCGACGCGTTGCTGCGTTTGGATTCCATGCTGGGTTTGCTGGTGCAGCGGCGGGTGCGCTCGCGTTGGCTGCTGAGAAGAGTGGCAATGGCCAGTTGAAGAGCTTGGAGCCGTATGCGAATGAGGCCGAGATGGTCAAGGATGTGAGGGAGAAGCTTGGTGGGAGTGGAAAGGGGATCAAGGCGTTGGTAATGGGTGCGCTTGGAAGGTGTGGACGTGGTGCTGTGGACTTGTTCCGCAAGATCGGTCTCGAAGAGTGAGTACCACGCAAGTACCGCGATAACACTACTCACTCGTTGACCTTTTCTTATCTTCCCAACCTTGTCTCGTATGTACGCCTCCAGGGACGACATTCTCAAGTGGGATCTCGCCGAGACCGCCAAGGGTGGTCCGTTCCAAGAGATCCTCGACGTCGACATTTTCGTCAACTGCATCTACCTTTCATCCTCCATCCCACCCTTTGTCTCACCCGAGCAAATCGAAAAGGCGGGCAAGGACCGAAATTTGAGCGTCGTCGTCGATGTCAGTTGTGACACGACCAACCCATACAACCCCATTCCAATCTATAACGTCAATACAACATTTGATGACCCACTAGTGGCCGTAAAGGTCCCGTACGTACAGATGTTCCTGTTTTCGTTCCTTGGGCACACCTAACGATCATTCAATAGATCTGGAACTCGGCCCATGTCTGTCATTTCAATCGACCACTTGCCAACTCTCTTGCCTAGAGAAGCCTCTGAACAATTCAGCGGCGACCTCCTCCCCACCCTCTTGAAGTACGGCCAGAGGGATACGGAGAGGACCTGGGTGGAAGCAGAAAAGTTGTTTGAGGAAAAGTTGAACGCCGCAAAGCAGGTGTATGCCAAGTCGGCGTAAATGTCTGAGGAGGAGAAGAAAATAGAAATCAGGGAAGACTCCAAGTTGGATTGTACCCCTCGGGATATGTATGAATGCAGTAGCAAGGATAAAATGGATCTGTATCGTAGAAAACATTACAAAAGAACATGAGATATCTCATGTTTTCACAAGTTCACGCTCCAAGCAATCATCGAGTACAAAAAAGTCCATTCGGTTGATCATTATCAAGTAGTGCTAGCGTCGTTATATATACACAAACACAGACAGGTGACACCTATTCTTATCGTTGTCATTTCATTCTCCTACTATTACTTCATTTCTTGCATATTTGGTTTAGTATCCTCCAGCAGGAGTGGGCATACCCACGGGTGGACCAGAGGGTGGGGCATATTGACCGCCAGCAGGGTTATACGACGCATTATACTCGTTCTGGTGAGCACCGTATTGCTGGTTGGGGTAAGGGGGTTGTCCAGCGTTATATCCACCAGGAGCAGGGGCCGCATTATAGTTGGGCTGATAGTCTTGTTTTGGTTCGGTGACGGGAGCCTCTCGATCACCTCCCTTGGCCTTACGACCGCGGAGGCAGCGGAAGATGCAAAAGACGCAAATGCAGAACAAGATCACACCGACGACTGTGCAAAGAAACTGGTCAGTAAACCGGGCAAAAAGAAGAGTAGAGAATGCAAAGTGGAGAGGGCACACCGGTCGAACGCGCGCGCCTGGATGCATGGTACGAGTTAAATTTGGACACGCCTGTCACGCCGTCGACACCCATTTCAAATAAAGAAAAGGGAAGGGATCGTCTTCGACGACTCCGAAAACACGCGTAAAATGCATTGTCGACCCACAAAAAAGGGTAGAAAGGAGAAATGGACGCGCTACTCACCAACACAGACGACGACGGCGATCAGAGCACCCTTGGCGAGCTTGGTGCCAGAGCTGCTCGTCCTAGAGCGCCCTTTAGCCTCTACACCCATCAAGAGAGAGGAGAGGGTGAGCAAGAGGGCCACGGTGGTGGGCAACAAGCTTCTCCGAGTCGAAATCATGGTGTCTCCGAGAAAACAACGTATGTGCGTTTGAACGGGAAGCTACTGTGCACGCTATAGACAGAATACTAGCTCTGTTTGATCCCAAGTGGTGGTGAACGTTGGGAGTGGGGGGGGGGTGCAAGTGAGAGAAAGGGGGCGAACGGAGAAGTGGGATGGCCGATGGACAGAAGTGTCCACCCGTTACCCCCCCCCCTTATATACAAGTCAACACGGCCAGTTCCAAAAATAATCGACACACTCTGCAAACTAGAACTTGACCGATCTTTTGTGGCAGCTGGGTCTCGCTGGTGTCCAATGACGCACTGGCCGATAGAAAGCCTGTTCCACTCGAAATCCTGGCCACTATCCGGGACGCGCCTTGACATCGGAGACTCGTTTTATTTCTCTGAAAATACTGTGTAGAGTGTATCCGACCGGCACTCTCCACCTTCTCGCGCGCGCTCGACACTGCTGCATGGCATGCACATGCCGTGTGCACCTTGTCCCCCTCAGAAAATGCCACAAAATTCCAGAATAAATACAATCTTGTATGTTAGTCGTTTACTATCCCAACTATCATTGCCTGGTCGATGCTGGTCTGTAAATAAGATGGAAAGTGAAATGGAGCGCTGCCCTGCACAAAGCAGTGCTGGGGCTTGGTGAATGGGCGGACGTCGGTCATCCAGCGTTTATATATTCCTGGTCAAAAGAGCCTTATCGGGCCAAACTTATCCTTTTCTCTCCCCCTCATCCACTATCCCATTCATCCCTACTCTTTTTTTCACCAAGAGGGGTAGACATCTCCACCATGAAAACTCTACCACAACCCAGTGG